ACCTTGGCCAAGACAGAAACAGAAACAAGTTCTGGGTGTCTGATATCATTGATAAGATGGCCAATGGCCAATGGCCAAGGGGATTATGCCACCGACAATTGCGGGCTGTCACTGCTCCCGACAAACAGACAGACAGTCAGGCAGACTGGCAGATGAGGCTCTACTGTCATTTGTCTTTGATATTATCTTGAGTTTTAATTGGCCGCAAATTCTTTTTGGCTCAAGTGAAATTCTCACGAATTTTTGTAATGGGCAGTGGACCGGTTAACAGGAGCGGTTGTAAAGTGTCAAAAGTTGGGCCCAAGAGAGGTCTGAAAATGTGTGTCAGATATTTGATGCTGTGCTGCGATCTTATGTATGAATATTTTCTTAGAAAGTTGTATAATAATGCTGCAGAATCTTTTGTAAAGATTTTGAAGAAATGTAGGAGTGTTAACATACAAAAAGAATGAACTATTAAGGTAGATAGATCGTACATTTAATACAAGTCGCGCGTCATGCTGCAGTTCCCCTTGGTCGGTTGCTAATCAAGTATTAAAACTATGTGAAAATATTATAATGAAATTCTAAAAAAATTTTAATTTGTTCGTAGGTTCCATCAACTAATAAATTCTGTACCTCTTTCTACTCAATCCGCTTTTGTTCAAGTGTAAAATTGGAGTCTTTTACACTCCCCAAATAATATATGCAAAAGCTTGAAAAAAAACTCAGAAATTATGTGAAAATAAGTAAATTCTTTAAAAAGATATATTTTCCTACCCATTTGCCCTCACTTCCCTACTGTTTTAGCTTCAGATCACGTCATAGGCCTTTGGTTTGGTACTTTTGATTAATACAAAACTTGACTAATGCATTTTTAATGAAACACCCAAGTGACATCATCCAAAATTGGTTCGAATGGAGGCACAAATTCTACAAGAACTTCTAGAAGTAATAATTTTATCTGCGTACCAGCGAATCTTACATTGTTTAAGCTTAGAAATATTCCCAACGAATTATAAGATATAATTAAATCGTAAATCGTATCTCAGCTTGTTTAATTTGTGGCTACCCAAAAAGATATTCCAGCGGATGTATATGTATCTACGGATCTGCGTATCTGTGTGAGGCATTCGGGCATTCGTTTCCCTTTCACTTGGAGGCCATTCATTCCACAAACTTCTCCTTTCAGCAGCTGCAGCATGACATTTAAGGATTACGGACATTACTTGGGCGTTTTTTTAATCAAGACAAAAATTTAAAGCAACGTCCGGAAATGCCACAAAAAGAACACACTGGAAAAAAAGAGAGCTGTGGAGAGCAGGATTTCATAGTTGATTTCATCTCTGAGATTTCACAAGGGCAACGGGGCAGGGAGTCATTCAACTTCGGTTACATAAGCATTCAGCATGAGCATCGATGATGCGTGCAACTCGGAATACTCGGAAGCAGCTGCAGCAGGAGTAGCAGCAGCAGCAAAGGGACACTGGCAATGCGTGTAAGAGTGTCTCCCGAATTGAAGGTCAACGAATGCCACATGCAACACGCTCTGGATGGGGATCAAGGGACTTGCCCTGCACGCAGGCAACATGACTCATTCGATTCGGTTGAACGATTTATGGACTCCGATTAAACGCCTTTTTGCATTCCCGCAGCCAGGCATCACCGACTGATTGCCTCTTGAGTCACAAACCCAGTGACATTTGGTATTTACACAAATAAAACAAAAACAACTCTGCCTCTGCTGCCTGCCACACTTTTCTGTCTCTCTTTTTTATGGTGGTAGGCTTTCTAAATTTGGTCACAAACTGTTGGCCAATCTGCGTGGCTTTTGGTCGCCGCGAATTCTGTTTTGTTCCAACACGAAATATTGATCTTGTGGGGGGCTGGCTGGGAAGCTGCGTAGTTCAAATCGAACTTGAGAGACTGTTTGGCTTGTTAAAAACGTATCTTAATGTCGGATATTTCTATTTCGATTTGTGGTTTGATATTTCTGCCACTTTATGAATTTTGATCAACTCTAAATTTAACTCGTTTTGCGACTGATGATAGCTAAATATCTATTGGGTTTTCGGTGTGGTTTTGTTCTCCTCAAAGGTCGTTTCCGACCAACACAGCCAACAGCCTCCGATCGTGTATTGTGTGATGTGATCATAAAATTGTGTGGGGGCTGAAAATTCGCAACAAAAAAATATATATATTATATATACAGCAAAAAGTATACCTACTATATTTAAATTCCATTGGAGCTTAAATTTTTGGTTTTAAATACAATTTAAATATATATGCTATACAATTTCTTTGTCCCTTTTTTGCTGATGCCGAAAAAAACACTTGACTCACTTTTGCCGTTGGCGTTGGTTTCTTTTTTTTTTTTTTGATTATCTCCAAATTATGTTTAATAATTTAGCACTCAATGAAGCAGCTGTCAAAAATGCATTTACATATGAACTAAAGTTAAGACAAAGTTGAAACGAAATATCAGTTTTTAAATGCTTTACTTTTGTTTTTCCTGTTTTTGTAAATTTTTAACCACTTTTGGGGCACAGTTCGAGGCTTGCAATGCAAAAAAAAAATACTTAAAATATTTCAATAATGCTCTGCAAATGTCGAAGGCTTTTCAGATAGTGGGATTAAAGAGCACGTTTTCAGGGTTAAGATACTTGGCACGGCAAAAGGAATTTCGAGAATTTGTGCAAGTGTTTTAGTGTTCTGTGGAATGATACTTTAATAAACTTCCAGAAGGTTTATTGTTCATTTTACTGCAAGATTAAATTTGAATAATAATTATTGAAGGTTCGGAAGTGTTCAGTCAGTGTCAATGTAAGCCTTCGCCTCAAGAAACATTTAAAGGAAGAAACATCAAGCCATGGATCCGTGGTTTTTTTCTCAGAAAAGGATGACTGCTTCCTGGAAAGCGTGCGCGTAGTCATTGCCACGATCTAAAATATGTAAAAAGAAGCTACAGCTGATGTCCTTGAATGAATCTCTTTTGAATGATAGTCCAATTTCATACTGTAATATTTCTGCAAAAAATGTCCTATATATTTCCATGAATAGCAATAGCCTCGAATGCTATACGGTTCAGGGACCAATCTGTATTGCCTTTGGCACATTATTTCTTTTAAAAATCCCACGTGTGTGTGCATCTTTTATACGAATACTCGCACCCATCGATATCCCCAGCTGCGCTGCATGATGTGCATGCTGTGTGCCCCTACGCCAGATACGATTTCTTTCTTAATTTTAATCGTTAACAATATGTATAAAATGTCTCGATTCGATTCGAATTTAGCCTTGACTTAAACATTGTCATTAAATTCATCCTGTTTTATGCGCCCCAGTGAGCGAAGAAAAAGAAGCCGATTAGTTTGTGTGTCAATTGCTGTCCTCAAGAGCAGCAACAGACTGAGATATTTCCCGCAGCTAAAACCGTAAATTAATCCGCACAAAAGTGCGTTAAATGTCAGGCAACTCAACGTGAAAACATTCGTAGTCCGCGTCTAAGCGGATTATCAAACGGAAACGTGTCGGAAAAGGTGTCTCAATTATGGCCAAATGGATTAAAATGTAAGTTAGGCAATTTCCTAGACTAGACAGCATTCTAGAGGTTAATCTCTACTGTGGCTGGCTACTGTGTGTCGTGTCTGAGTTCATTTCAAAATATAGAAAAAATATATATATAGAAATACCATTGATCAATGATTAATTCTAATAATGATGGCCGCCTCTTGCATATCAAAGGAACGAAAAAAATTAGTATACGGAAATCAAAAGATTTCTCGTGCAGCCAGTCGTTTATGCTTGATTTTTTTTTTGTGATATCCAAAAGCTTTAATTAAATCAATAAACCAACTAAATAGTAAGAGAACTATCAGAAAATAGCAACAAATATCTATCCATCCATCGATCCATAGCTGAAATATCATTTTTCGATTAGGAATAAACTTAAATCAAACTAAAACACGAAAAACTCGAATTTTCAATTAAAAAAAAAACTGAAAACGTTCTGCGGGACAAACAAAACACAAAACAATAAAACATCCAAAAAAAGAAGATTTTAAACTAAAAAAAAAAAAGAAGCTAAATATCTTAAAATATTAATGAACCCCCCTCTGAAGAACCTGAAAGTGAACTTAAATTCTTGGGACACGCAAGCAGATCCTCCCCAAGAGAGGATCTCAAAGAAAGAGAGTGATCTGAGAGAGTTCTTTCGGTGAAGTGCGAGATTTATCAAGTATACGATCCGGTGTTCCGGCTGGGAGTTCGTTCAAGCTCATCGCTCTCCTCGGCGCTTGGACAAATAAATTAACGAAAGCCATGAAGGGTAGCTTTGAGCGTCGAATATTAGTTACCCTTTAAGCTCGATGGGTCCTATGATCACTCATATGATTTAGGCAATCTTTTTGGGTTGTCTTTGGCAAACTAATATATAAAAAATTTTCTAGAAACCTTTTTGAGATATCTATGGTCTTAAGAAGTGTCTTTGCGAAAGGTTTAGTAGCAGATCTGCTCTCAAAAGGTCTTCGGGTCTTTACCTCAAAACCCCTCGGAGACATCCTCGTGGAACGTTGCCTGAGTAACGGTAAATCAGAACCTACATTTTCCTGAGGGTTGTCCACACAGAGATGTGCTAAATATGACAATCTGTCCATATAAATAGATAAAACAAATGCCTCAAACAGACGCATATATCGACTCAGATATTGATGCTACTCAGTGCCCATTATCGCAATCATAATACCCTCTTTACAGGGTATAAAAATCATATGTTTAAAACCCGTTCCACTCACACACGCACGCACTTTAAGCCACAAACGCAAGCTCTGGCTCTGACTCTGACTCTGGAGACGCGCTGCTGCGGCTGCGACTGCTGCTCTCAAGTACATTTTTGTTGAGCGCGTCTTGAAATTCGATTTCAGTCTGTCTTTATTTTTTATATTTGTGTTTCTTTTTTATTGTTTTGTTTTGCGTCTGCCTCTTGGTTTATATGGCTAAGACGCGTTGCGTTCATCTTCAGTTCGTCCAGATCGGTCACCACGGTATGAGCTCTAGTTTAGGCTCCCCAAAGTAAATACATACTCAAAAGATTCCAAGAGATCTCATAAGATCTCTCACAAGATCCGTGATCCATCTCACATGCAAGAACAAAACAACCAAGAACTGTACTAATTGCAAGGATAAATAAAAAAAAAATAAAAGAAAACCGAAAGGAAAAACTGTATAGTGTGAAATCTGTGTTCAATATATAATGAATATTTCTTCTCTTTTTCAAGATTGGAAATTGGATAACTCAAGTTTATTCCATTTGTAAATTTTATAATATACCTAAATAAATATTTACTGGAGCGTTGCGTTGTGTCAAATATAAAAACTTAAAAAATTCGTTGCAAAATGGCGCGTGCAGTTTGTTGCATGGTGAGTTAAAAAATAAAATAATAATAACATTTTTGAATGTGTATAAAATATATATTTAAAAATCTTTAAAAATTTGAGGCAGGATATTCAAAGAAAGGACTATAATCTTTTTTGAAGATTTACGAAAATATTTTCTTATAAGTTTTTAAAAAAATTGAAAAAAAATTAAATAAAATATTTAGAAAATATAATTTCTATATATTTTTTTCGCGTTATTTCGAATTATTCTCCAAAAAGTTCAGAAATTATACATTTTATAGATATCTTTTCCTATATATAGTTCAAATATTTTTGTGTATTTCCTTACCTTATTTCATAATTATTGAACTCCATTCCGGTTGTCCTCAACACTTGGCAAGTGCTAAAATAAAAATCAAACAAGAGAACCAAATAAATAGAGGGAAAAAATGCGTCTGACTCGAATATTTGATTGCAAACAAACAAAAATGCGATATGCATAGCAACAACTACCCGCAGTTAAGATTTGAAGGCTTCGAGAGTACATCAGAATGCAGCAAAAGTACAGACAGAGAGTACTACTACAACTACTCATAGCTATAGTATTTGTAGAGCCCCCTTACTCATTAACGAATGATTCCAATTTCATATCCACAGAGATGACTTCTGTGTAGTACAAATTTGATGAGCAGACAGACAGACAACAAGTCCGGGTCAAATTTTGTTACTATTTTCGGTTTATTTGCACAAGTATTTGCTTGAATGCAACTTAGTTGAAGGGAAATGAATACGTACGAGAGTGGCAAATAAATGGTCTGTACGAATCATCAGGCCCGGCATTTTACTAGACAAACAAAATACGAATACCGGCAATTTCGTAAGCGTTATTCGATGAGTAGCACCAGTATTTGTTTTAGCCGCAACGCAAAACGTCTTGCCCATGTTTTTACCCAGTTTTTGTCATTGAAATCCAATCGATATTCGTAATTTGTGAAGTTTTTTTTTTACATAGAAGATGCGTCAATGGCCAAAAATGCGCCGACACAACACAAAAAACAAAATCAAACAAAAGCTAAGCGAATTTCTGCTTAAAAGTGAGACATAAATTTGTATTAAATGCTATTATCGGAGGGGATATGCAAATGATTTTGAATCATTTGTTACTTTTTTTTGTGGGGATTTGTGATTGTGGGTTTATTTAAAGTCAAATGATTTGCTTAGTTCCGTTTGAGTACGAATTTTGAGAAAGTTGCGGTACAATCATATGATATTTAAAGTCAAGGACTTGCTTCATTAACAAACAAAAAACTATCCAAAAAGAGTGTTAATTTTATTAAAACCCCAGCAAATTCTTAGATAATATGCAACCAAAGTATGCTAATTGTCTGAAAAGATAGAGATACCCAAAAATGTATATATAAAGTGTCATAATGATGCCGCGATATCATCTCCATTTCGCACTAGAAACAAATTTTTGTTGGCTTTTGGGAATTCTGTCACCTGTCAAAAGGCCCGCACTTGCCCCTCTCTGTCTCTCACAGACACACTCCGGGGTCCCTTGACCCGTTCTTTTCCAGCTTAGGGTTAAGCTTGTGGCTCAGAGAATTTATCACGACAGCATGCGGCTTATTTCTGTCAGACACGTACGAAAAAAGAGTGGTAGGAGCAAAAAGATTGTTTATGCCCTGCGGCAACAAGCGTTGACAGGCCATCGTATCATTTTGGCCCAGAATTCTGGGATTTCTTTAGCGTTTCGCTCCCACTCCTAAAGCTGAAGTTTGTTTGTGGAATTTTAAAGAGTGTGCAGAATTTTCATCTGCTATTTGAGAGGCAGAGATTTAATCGGACGGGACACAGTAGTAGGCAAAGAGTTCTGTTTGAGTCATAAAATGTAAGTACTCATGAGTGGAGTGTCTGGCATTCATAAACAGTTTGAAATAAATTAGGGGGATTTATTCGGTTGTAAAAGAGAGTGTTAAGAGTGTTAAACATGTGCGACATTGTATGGGTTAAGTTTACAGTTAGCGCAAGCCAAAATAGAACATTAAAGAAATACATCAAATTTAAAAGAGTAAATTGGCATCTTCTTCCCGGTTTAAAGTTCTGTTCTTTAACCTCTTACATAAGAGTTCATAGAACTTTAAGCCACGTCCCATTCACTTTTATTGCCCACCCATTCTAAGCATTCTTTTCGTTCAAACTCTTCATCTCCATCGGGTTTTTTTTCTTTGCGTAACTTTCGATATTTAAAGACTCCCAAAAGATTGTGGTTTGTCTGCCACTAATATATGGATATCTTGACTAATTTTAATATCAAAATCTATAGATATATAGAGAGTGTGTGGTGTGTGTATCTATAATGAAAAATCTAGAAATGCAAATGAGCTTTTGTGGTGATTGCCAGCCAGCGATTAGGAGAGACAAAGGCTGACTGTTGTTGTGGGCAGAGGAGGAAGTCTTCGTTCGCTCTCTTTGGCTTGAACGAAAAATGTTATGCGAATGTCCACAAAATGCCAAAAGTTGAAAGTAAAAGTTTTTTTATTTTTATTTAAAGTTAAGATGATGTCACTCCCAAAACTAATGTATAACTGCATGCCAGAGTATTCGAAACGGTTTATTTCTTAATTATTCCCATAAATCTATTCTGATTTGGAAAGGGAACGGAAGTCCAGTGACAGTTAAATGTACATTCCATTCCCATCATTGTTTTTGAGAGATCTGTTGTGGAATGAACTCCATTAGCTTTTGGTTCTGCTCTGGTAGAATACTTCTAGACACTGCTGCTAATTAAAACAACTCGCTGAACTCGAACTTGAAAGGTTCCCCCCCAATATCTGGTTCGACCTGTTTTTCAATCGAATTTTTATCGATCGAATCAGATTTTTTTTGGGCAGATTTTTATGGTGGGTTACAAAAGTTTGCCAAGTTCTAATAATTCTTTTGTCATCGCAACTGATGATATTTGTTGCCGGGTAAGGCCAAAGCGCTCATTAAAAGATGTTTGTTTGACATTTTTGTATGCCTTGTGGTTCATGTTAATTTTTTTTTCGATTTCACAAAAACGAAAGAAATTTCACAATTTCATGCCAGCAGGCGCAGGCGCAGCGCAGCGCAGCACCCGAATGAACGAAACTGCATCCCACAAACTTGTGTCATCGATTAAGGTCAGAGATTCCCCGCCGCATAATCGGTTGCATTTTTTTGTTTTTGTTTAGTTGTTTATTAAACATATTTCTCTCTGTTCGGATGCATATGGTCCCATGCCAGATTGACCTTGAAACGTATTGAATACTTGAGGTTTCGCCTCTAAAACCGCCAAAGGGCAAAAAGCAGTCAAGAGTCTGGAGATGGAGATGTCTTAACCGGTTTTGTTTTTGGAGCCGCCGGAATGATCATCATCATCATCATAATCATCGAGAAAATGTTGTAGCTGAAATCATGTTAACAGAAAAAGCAACATCTCTGGTGCGTGCAAATAAGTCGATTAATAAATTTTCAAGTTATGCAAAAATGGCAAAAACTTGGCAAAAGATTCATTGGCTCATTGTAAGAACGCTTGAAGCTTGATGCATGAATTCGTTCTCAAGGCGTAGCGTTCTGTGGCTTTTTGGGTCATGCCGCCACAGAGTTAGCCACTTGTCTTGGAATGATCTATGTGAGCAACGCCTCAGACCTGACGTGCCACTTGATTTACGGCATTTGCAACTCAAACTGAAATCCAAACTGAAACTCAACTAAAAGTTATGCCTCTTCTTTTGTGTCTCTTTGTGGCCCACATTTTTTTCAGGCTTAAAGTTTGGCTTTTATAATTGATTGGAAATTGATTTGAGGCTTGGCAGCAGCAGCAGCAGCCAGCCAGCCCCCATTCACTTAATTGAAGTGTAGACTAATTATTTATAACAAATGAATTTATCAGTCTGTGGCCTAACCCAAAAACAGGGGTGCAAACACTAAAGCAATGGATCAGGGGTAAAGTTTGAAGCATTTCTTGGAAGGAGTGGATGGTCTTGTCCTACAAAGTCAAAATGTAACGAAAAAGCAAAACAAAAAAAAAACTAACAAATACGCCATTTACATTCCATAAAATTTTTCCTAGAACAATTGATTTTTCATTGGCTTTTCAATAGAAAACATGTAAAACCTCTTAAACGTTCATTCATCCTTACAGAGCTTATTATCCATACTTTTTAGACCTTTTTGGGTAACATATGCCAGCAATTTCTGATCAATTTTGTGTGGCATAAAAAGTACCCTCTATAGCCCTACTATTCCTTGGATGGACACAACACATAGTGTCAATCATTTTGCCACACCTGCAGCTTATCCCGACTTTTAAGCCCCAAAGAAAACTTTCAACACGTTTGTTTTCCGGAAAAACTTTTCAGCTGGTGCCTGCGAATGTAATCAACTGTCGATAAACGAAGTTAAAAATCAATAATCTCATGAAAATTATGAAAAACTTTTGTAATACACTCTGAAACCAGCCCTCCCTGAGACACTCACTCAATGATTCATTGAACTCTTTGCCCGAGGCTTGAACTTTATTTATTATGAAAAATGTGAGCCCTCCCAGAGGCCTGCCATCGGGGGTGTTGGAGAGATAGAGAGAGAGAGAGAGAGGCGGAGAACGACCTCTGTTGTCAGCAGCTGTTTGATATTATGGCATAATAAATTACAGTCTTTTTTTATTGATATTTTTCATGGAGATATGGGAGCAGCAGTTGATTTGGCAACAATTTAAACTTGAAGATATGCCAATCAAAAGACAGTTAGTTGCATATGTATGTATACGCACCAATCCGATACGATGCCACCAATTTGCATTAATGAGATTTCATATTTCGATGCCGTTTTCGATGGTCAAATAAATTTGTGTGTTTTATGAGAAATTCATTTGTCTTTTGTCTTTGGTTTCCTTCACATGGTTTGGTTTTCATTTTATTTGCCCCCACAATAAAAAAAAAAACTAGACAAGAAATTATTGACCTTATCCGCAAATCTATGTATAGCGGGTGTTAACCATTGTTATCCAATATAATTACCAGGCATCTCTTTTTAACCTTAAGATAAACCCGCAGAGACACACACAAAAGTCAATGAAAAAAAAAAAACCGAGACAACGAAGTTTAGTTACCCTAGGAGGAGATTATTTTATGTGTTAAAAGATTGTGCAGGATGAGAGTACGCTTTGGGGAGATTTCTAGGTAACGCTTAGCTAATTGTGATCGTGAATCAGAGCTCGAAAATACTTTACGGACACAATGCAATGTGCGAGAAGAAGAAGACAAATTCGATTCGGTTTTTGCAGACAGTGGGTACTCTTGAGCAATGCGCCCTCTTTTTTTTTGTCTCCTTTTTGATTTTGTTTCGTTCGATCCACAGGCAGCCAAAGCCTCCGCAAAGCGATAAGCTTTGTCTCCCACACCCACAACAACAACAACAACAACAACAAGAAAAAGACACCTTTGCATTTGCGTGTCTCGTGTTTTGTTGTTGTTATTGTAAGACAACTTCATTCATGTTCGGTCGCAACTGAAAATACAAAGCAGAGAACGCAAGCGCAAAATATTAAAATTGAGATAGGAGATCGGGTTGGCGCTTGATTTTGGTTTTTTGTCAGTGAGCAAATCGCATTGGAAAAATAATTACCAGGCATCTCACTAACCTTAAGACAAACCCTCCAGACACACCCACACACACACACACACACACCCTCATCGAATCGATCGAAGAGCTGATGGAGGCACATAATTAGAGGCTGATTGAAGAGGAGGCTCTCAATCTATCAAAGATCATAAACCAATCGAACTATTTTTGTATTTAGCATAATGTGAAGGTCTTCTTCGTGTGACTGTCGTCTTCCTTCTGCCGCTTAGAGACATATTTAAGAAATATGACTTGATTGCGTTTTATGAATTCTACTAAAACAACTCGTTTCTGATAAGGAAATGGTCAGGCCACAAAGCCGGAACTGTGTATTAAATTAAGTTAACGACATGAAGAATTTATGCTAATCCAAGAACAAACCAAAAACTTTAACCAATCGAAGTTAAGCCCTGGATTATGTGGCATACTTTCCATGAATTTATTGATTATAATCACTTTTAGTGAGTGCCACTCCAAAATGTCGACAAGTGCATTAAGAACTCGGTTAATTGTCCATTAAACTGTCTGTCAGTGGAAGCCAAGCCAAACCACAAGTTTGGTTTTCAACTTTAAGTCATTTTAGCAAGAGTGTCTGACATTTTTCGCAGCGACTGTGACAAATCGAAGCAAATTAGCATATAAAATCAAGTTCCAGTTCTAGTCTTAAATCGAAAACCGTCTGCTGTCAAACCGTTTTTTGACGAGTGAAGCCACAAGAAGGAATGCTGTGCTTTGATTATTTTATGCCTTTGACATTTGGGACATTTTTTTTTTTTTTTTGGTAACGAATTGAACCGGATCTAAATGGGGCTGCTGCGGGGATGGTACGAGACTGTCGAAACGAGCTCAAAACTTCCAAGTTTTTTGTGTTGGTTTTGTTGTTGTTGTTGTCTGTTTGAGTCATCCATGTCTCATATGCAAATCCAAAGGCAGAGTCAAAACCGTAGTTAAAGTCTTACATTTTGAACACTTTGTGGTCTGAGTGTGCGTGTGTGTGTGGGGGCGTGCGTTGAATGTGACAAATCTTTTCAACAGCTGTTACCATTAATCATTTTTCTTTTGTGATTTTTTTTCCAGGTCGTCGCTTGCATCTTCTTGGTGCAATGCGTTTACTCTGCCAAATTCGATGCAGAGAATCGTCGTCTTATACTCGATATAAACGATCAAAAGACAACGAATACACAATATTATTCCTCAAACTTTGACACAAGTAAGTGACGAACACGTTAACCCTATCCTCCCCGTAACCATTGCGCCGCTGTCTATAACGTTGTAATAAGCCTGCTTATAAATTCCACTCCAAAGAAACATACAATCCAAAAAAAAAAAAAACAATCCATTAATTTATGTAAAGTATTTTCGTAGAACCTCCTTGTATTTGTAAACTATCCTATGAAAACCCCCCACTATCCACCCAACCATTCCATGCAGTTTAGTTAGTGTTTTTTTCATAGATAAAACCAATTTGTTAATTGTAGTTGTTAGTACTAGTAGTACCTTAGTCTTAAGTATTTGTATACCCTCTACCAACCCACCCTACCACCCACTACGTTCCTCATCAGAATGTCCTTTGTAGTATGTTCTTTTGTAGCAGCTTTACTAAAAATTTCACCCCAGTAGAAATCGTAGACTCAAATTGTAAATATATATATATATACGCTCAATCAAATCAATCAATCAAACAACCATTTATCTATCTCTCTCTCTCTCTCTCTGTCACACTCTATATGTCTCTTTTCCTTCTATATGCAACTATCCCTCTTTCTTTTACATACTTTTCTTGATGAAAACATGAAATTTTATATGAAAAAAAAGCTTTGCATACTCATACTCTCCTCTCACAACAAAAACAAAAAAAAACCCAACAAAAAAAAAAATAGTAAAAAAATTTTTTTACAAAAAATAAAACTCAACAGCAACTCAACTCAACAACAACAACAGCACACAAAAACACCAACATTTTCTATATACTATTTAAAAACAAATCTCATATGTCTAGGACTATTCCTCCAAAGGCAATTTAATAATAAGATGTGTAACGAGGAAGCCCAAAAAATGCTACAATGCAAACGAGCTAGTTTTATGCTAGTTTGAGAGCCAAAGAGAGCGTTGCCATTGGAACTTTTCTCTGAAATGAAATAGAAAGCTAAAAGAAATACTACAAATTTCTGCATGTTTTGCAGCATCTTATTATTAAAATGTCTGTGGTTAAACGAAACCTTTGCGGCGCATTGTACGATAGTTCTTTAGGTTCAGAAGAGAGTCAGTCAGGATGTTAGACGATATCGATAGATAGATATATAGATTCTTAGGGATATCTAATACATTTTACAGGTTTTGTCACACACCAAAATCACACACACACACCACAAAACCCAAAGTTATACCTCTAAAAACATTACTCTTTCAACAACAACAAAACAAACAACAAACCAAAAACCACAACAAACAAATTCGTAAACGATCGAACAAAAAAAAAAACTAGATGCCTATCGTTATGGCTATGATGTGGGAAAGACAGGGAACTTCCATCACGAGACCCGTGGACCCGATGGCGTCACCTATGGCTGCTATGGTCTGATCGATCCCTATCATCTGCTCCGTGCAACACACTATGTGGCCGATGCCCATGGCTATAGGACTGTGGAGCCAGAGAAACCCGTCGAGACATTCCCGCCGCATTTGTACAATGAGACGGATGGTGGTCCCTCGGCGCCAGGCATTCTGTTGCAGTGGCACGAGCTCTATTTCCCCATTGGATGTGGCAAGTTTGCCGACGGCGCCCAGTCGGGTGTGCCCTACTTTGTGGAGAATGATGTAAGGATGCGAAGGAGGACAAGGAGAACTCTGTCTCTAGATCAAATCCTCACTGATATATGTATCGATCTTCTAGTATAAGAAAAAGGAGGGTAGCAACGATGCCATACCCTCGTTCTCGGTGAACATTCCGGTACTGAAGGGTTCCGACCAGAAGAGTCTGCCCATCCACAAGCCAACCGGTCCGCTAGTGCCCCAGGGCACAGGACTCTTTGGCACCGACAAGGGACACACGCATCGCGAATATCCCGGGGATCAGGCGCCATCCTTCCAATCAGTGAATACCCTGCTACCGGGCAGCAACAGCAACAGTGAGAACTGATCTCTCCGATCCCCTCCCGGCCACGGACTCTAGTCTCTCGTGTTCTTTTAGATGATGGCCAATACAAGCCGGATAGCAATCCCTATAACCATGTGGTTGGTCCCAACGGCGGCAACGGCGGTAACGGCGGTAACGGCGGTAACGGCGGCAGCGGCTCAGGAGGCGGCAATGGAGGATTCGGTGGATTTGGGCCCAACGGCCCTGGTGGTCCAAAGGGAAACAACGGGCCCAACGGTCCCAAAGGCCCCTTTGGCCCCCCTGGTCCCCCTGGACCGCCAGGTCCCTTGGGCCCGGTCGGCGCGGGAGGCGGAGCCTCAGGAAAACCGGTATACAAGGATGGAGATCGCACAGGATTAGGATCGGGTCAATATAATGCCAATGGCGATGCTACTGGTGCCGGCAGCGGCTCCGGTTTTGGCTCGGGCGATCGCTACAGCACTGGCAATGGCAACGGCGTCGGTGCTGGCGATCGCTATAGCACGGGCAGTGGTGCTGGAGTCGCTGCTGGCGGCAGCTATCGTCCTGGCAGTGAGGGTACCTACACGAGCACCTACACGCACACCGATACCGGTTTTCCTGGGGCCATTGGATACGTATCAGGTTAGCCTTCCATCAACAACAACCCCACCTGGAGATCAAAATTTGAACGAGCTGTGGAGGATATAGAGAGTATATAGAATAGAGTCTTCTACTCATGATTGAACTTTAAGAGCGATACGATCCCCGAAATGTTCGTTCAAATTTTGCTTCTTTCACGGTTCTTCTCGTAGTTCTTTAAGCGATTCCCTTAACTTATGTTTATGTCTCTTCCTAGATGATAATTATTAAATTAAAATTTTAAACTATTTTAAGATTTACTTTCGTTTACTTTCAGCCAAAGATCAGCAATATAATATTGTATTTTTACACAATTTTCTTTTGATATTTATTTTTTTGGCAAATATTCTTTATTCAGAAAGCACCAAAAACACACACCGATATATACTATATGTTTAGGCGATAATAGGGCACGATTTTTATTAGAGCACCTCTCTCTCTCTCTCTTTCTCCCCCCCCAAAACGAGCGCACAAATTCCACAAACTATATATATCCTATATATATGTATATCCTTTCTATATATTTTATATGCACCGAAAACAAAATAAGTTGAAAATGAAAAGAATTTTTTATACAAATTCTCATTAAAAAAAAAAAACAAAACAAAACACTGATATATGTGTATATATATATCAATCATGCTTGCACCGATTCTTCAGAAATACACACACACACACATGCACACCACACACCCCACACACATACACATACACTTTCATATATTGTACAATAATTGCACCTTATCAAAAAAAAAAAGAAAGATAAATACTTGCTTGAGCAAATGGAACAAAAACTAACCCAAAGAACTCCTTTAATTCCTTTAACACACTTACAATCGATATATCTGTATATTTTCGATACCCATTAATCAATTTCTGGTCTAATCTAAAACCCATATGCTATATAGATATTGATACTAACAAATCATTATCCTTGATATATTTTTTTTGCTGCTTTTGTTGTTATGATTTTTTGTGGTGTCGGTTGTCGCGGACTCCCCTCTGTTTTTTGTTCCCTTATTTCTGTAGCACTTTTTTTGTATTGTAATTTAGTTACTGATTACTGTAGTTAGTGATTAGAGTAGCTAGTAGTTGTACTAGTAGTTAATTTGAATTGAAAACCATTTTATGAACTGTTTACTAATCGAACGATTTTCCAACCCCCCTACGCTCTTCCCCACCAGACAACGGTAATTATAGGGGTGAAAGTGGACGTTACAACGGTAAGCACACAAGCTCTACAGATCCTTTCGAGTAGCGTACTCATATATATCCTTATTTCTGCGCCTGTTAGGTATTAATGATGGCAAATATTATCACGACGATTCGGGTAAATATGTTCACGTTGAAGGCCCCACCGGTCCGCCAGCACCTCCGTATGTCCACATTGTTGGACCCGAGGGCGGCTACGGCGGTGAGGGCGGCAATGGCGCCGGCGGCGGTGTAGGACCAGGCGGTCCCAATGGCCCCAACGGCCCCGGAGGACCCAAAGGACCTGGAGGTAAGTAAAACAGGGAAAGGACGCATCTATAGGATGATTCTCTAATCTTTGGTGACATTTTGTAGGCCCCAACGGCCCCAACGGACCACCCGGCCCACCTGGACCACCTGGTAAGCTTGAGAAAAAGAATCCATAGTCCTTAAGGATCTCTCTGACATTTTCTGTTCGAATCTCATCAAATCTAGGACCTCCCGGGCCTAATGGACCTACTAGACCCGGACCTAAAGGTAGCTCTCAGATTTAACTTCATTTAAAAATAAAAAAAAAACTAAATGAATCCTTTTTAAAGGACCTTTCGGACCACCCGGCCCTCCTGGCCCACCCGGCCCTCTAGGACCAACCAGACCAGGCCCATATGGACCGCCCGGCCCACCCGGCCCCACACGCCCAGGACCTCCAGGCCCACCAGGTGAGAAAACCGAATTCTACTCATAAAATATGACCACAAAAATAAACACCAAAATTTGTTTTGTTTTTCCCCAAGGACCAACACGCCCAGGACCACCCGGCCCACCAGGACCCTCGCGTCCTGGCCCACCAGGACCTGACCGTCCAGGCCCGCCCGGACCCGACCGCCCAGGACCACCGGGGCCACCACCACCAAACAACAACCGTGTGCCCACAACCACCGATCCCAGGCATTCGGACAAGGACACGCCCGGATACCTGCCGCCAGATCAACCCGGTAAAATCTCGATACCACCCCCACCATCCTACTCACAAACCATTAAGATCGAACCACCCGTGATCAATTTCAAACCCAATTACGAACACAATAGCGATTATGTGCAAAAGAAAAATCCGCCATCCAAAACCACAGCAAAGCCACCACTAACCTATATTCCTCCTTCTATCCCACAACCACAAAAACCTCAACCACCTTCCCAACACCATGTTCCTGTTCCCGTTCCCGTTCCCAATGTTCCTGTTCCCGTTCCGCCATACCAAACGACAACGATTGTACAGCCAAAGGTCCCGGCTATCATTATTGAGAAGGATAATAGGCCACCAGTAACAATCGGTAATATTGATATCCATACAGTACCACAGAGACCATACACAACACCCGCACCGCCCACTCCTGCAGTGGTGACACGATACGAAACGACTCCACGAACGACTCCCAGACCTACTGCCTATCAGCCATCGACTGCCAGACCTACTGCCTATCAGCCATCCACACCCAGACCTTTTGAAAAGGTCTCCAGTCCACCCATACAATACCATACGCCACAGGTGCCACAACAGCCAGCACCGTACAGACAACCCCCCGTACAGCAGACGAGGACGACGACAACGACGACAAGACCACAACAATCCTATGTTGTTGAACCAAAAGTAACGCCACGTCCCTCTCCACCATTGCATGTGCCTGCGTATCCGAACAGCGGCGACACCTGTGTCTGCAGCGATAAGACGCACCACTCATCGAAAACCACTCAAAGCACCACAAGCACCCACTCCTCTACCACTAGTAACAACTATCCCCAAAATCCTGCTTCCGTTGACTTTAACAAACAATTTTCCGGCTTCAATGGACAAGCGAACTTTGGCAGCATAATCAATGCCATGTCACTCACACAATTGCCCGTGATACCCCAAGCACCCGGCCAGCCGGCCTTCTATCCGCCGGATAAGATACCCAAGGGTGCTGTCATCGCTCTCATGCCGGTGGTGATCCTGCCACAGGAGTACTACTCAAATTGCGATGAGAATTCCATATACACAAGCGGCAAGCAGCAGAACAGCATTGTCGATCCCTTCCCGCTGGGCGTACAGCCAGCGGCCATACCGAATGCCTTCAGCCTGCATTCGGTGTTCACGGGTGGCGCGCCCAAGGATCAGTGCATGTGCCCTTGCTCATGCACACAGAATTTGCCCAGCAGATTGCACAAGAAACGCGAGACGAGCGAAAAGGAGGCCACGGAGGTGAAGGCCGAGGCCGAGGCGGAGGTCAGGGTTGCTGCTGCTTCTGAGCAGGCAAAAGTTGAGATTAAACCTGTTGCGGCTGCCTCTATAGAGGCTAAAGTAGAGACTCCAGTCGTTTCTGCTGCCTCTGAAGAGTCGAAAGCAGAGGTTAAGCCCATTACTGCTGCCTCTGAAGAAGTTAAAGAGGTTCTACCAGTACCAGCCGCCTCTGAGGAGGTTAAGGTAGAGGTTAAACCCGCTCCAGCAGCCTCTGAGGAAGCTAAAGTAGAGGTCAAGCCAGTGGCAGCCGCCTCTGAGGAAGCTAAAGTAGAGATTAAACCGGTACCAGCAACCGCCACCTCCTCCGAAGAGCTTAAACCAGCCGCCTCTGAGGAAGCTAAAGTCCTCGTTGATCCTCTACCAGTTGAAAAGCTCAAGGAGACAAGCGACGACAAGATCAAGGTTGAGACTACGAACTAAGACAACGGCCCTGACAACGCCCTGACGATGCGAAAAGAAAACCCTCTCCCAGATCCCGCTTTTAATCCCGTTCCAGAATCCTCCTCCCAAACCTCCCAAACCTCCCACTCCCGAAAAGAAAACTAATCCAATTTCCAGTCTTAGCGTCTAAGTGTTTTGAAGTTGAAGAATCCATTGATGTGTTCGCTTGCTTTTTTATTGTTTCTTGTGTTAAAACTGCCTGTCAAATCGTAAACGAAAATAGTTCCCACTTAAGAGAGCGATGCAAAATGTGAAAGAAAATTGTAAAAAAGAAAATTGTTTTGTGACATGTTGTTTATTATGCATTTTGTGTATTCTTTTATTATTTTTTATTTTTATGATTTGATTTCGTTTTATTTCCTTATGTCTTTACCAACTTTAGTTTTTAGTTTATTTAATATCTACTCTAATCAACGATTGAGACGGAAATATTGAATTGTTATATGTCAAGAGAGCAACTAAATGAAATTAAATAAAAATTAAGAAAAATAAAAAAACGAGTCTTACTGGAAGAGAGCGGGCGGGCACAATGAGAGGGAGCAGCTTAGCCAATTTGGCACGAGAGTAGAATGTGAGCTGAATGGAACAGTGCTATATTCCTTTTGGTTTTCCTTAGTGGATCATCTAGACTAACGATTTCGATCAGCAGTCAATTGGTAATAGGCAGCAATGTTGAACAAAGATTTTGGAATCCCTTGCCAAATCACCTTCGAAGGCGGCCAAATCCCTTGTGAGGGCATCAGTGCAGAAAAAGAAACCTGATCCAAGCGACTCCGCTCTGAAATCGCATCCAATCCCTAGCAATAAATTGTTGTCTTTTCTTTAATTTGAATACCATTGGGCAGAGAATTCTCTACCGAATCTGCAATGGCCTGCTATTCCAAGATCTCTAAAGTCAAGAGTTGTTATATTATAAAGATGAAGACTCTTATTGTTCAACATTTCTCACTTCTCTCCCCCCCTCTCTCTCTTATTGCGATGGCAATAGTGGCGCCACACGCCGTATTTTCGTGTAACTTTATTTTAATGAATACAAATGGACGTACTCAAAAAAAAGTAAACCCCTAAAAGTACACTCTGAACGTTTTAAATAGAGATTATGTAAAATTATTATGAATGTAAAATTCGGACTTACTTTTGGGAATGCCATTAAAAAAACCATTTTCCTCACTGAGTCGTGGCCCCATTTTAGGTTTTTTCTGACTGAAGCATGACGGATGCAGCACGCTGTTTTTTTTTATTTCTTTTGGCAACAGAAAATGCAACAGAAAAATCACTTTTAGCTAGAACACGCCCCGAAAATTCCAAAAATAAGGCTTTCCCAGGCCAAAAAACGTTGCATATTACATTCCAAGAAAAAGGAAAATATATAAATCTTTTTGGAAAAATAAGTGGGAATTCTGTTCAAATTTTCGAGAATGCCTGACTTTTCTGTGAAATGTAGATATATGTAGAAGGTCTCTGTGGTAGGGTCTTCCCTTGGTCGAGTTATTTTTCTTGCAAACTTGCTATTTGCGTTTCCCGCCGCTTATTGTGGCAGTATTTAAATGGTATTCAATGTAAAATTCTGGTTATTGAAATCACAGAAATAAATCAGAAACAAGAGAGAGAGGAGGGAAACCCAGAAAAATTGGAAATGAAAACGGTTTATTCTTTTTTTGTTTTTTGAAAACTCTTTTGCTGTTACTATGAGTGCTACGAGTGGGTACAAGCAGACAGCTGCAAAAACAGAATATACCAAGTACTTACATATGTATGGTATGCCTTCTGAGGGACCGAGGATCAGGGACAGAGGATTAAAAAAATAAAAAATTCATGCAGTGCAGAAAATGCATAAAGAAAATGCGTACGTAAACGCGAACGCGACTAGTTCGGGAGACTCGGTAGAATGTAAAAAGAAAATGCATGCAGACCAAGGGACCGAATGCAAAAAACAAAATAGATGCAATATGCCAAAGGCGGATGAAGGAACGAGCCAAAAAGGGAATGCTGATAAGGCTTGTGTTCTCTGTACTTTTTGTTGTTGTTGTTGTTTGACTCTACTTCTTAGGTGCCCAATGTCTTCTTTCTCCAACCCAAAAATATCTTTAAACAATTGTTTTACCTTTGCATAATATTTTGCCTATGGTCTCGCCTTGAAATTGATGTGTAACCCAGTTTTTTGGTTGGTGTCTTTGGATGGATTTTACGACTTTGTGACAAGTCAATAGCTGAAGTTTTGTAATGCCCGCATGGTAACCCCCATATAACATTTCACACATTGTTTCTATCCCACTTTAAGGCGTGGTCTCTTCTTCAGTTTAGGGCTCATCGGTACTTGCATTTTTATGAATGAAACTTCCACAATGATTATGAAATCTAGATTCTGTTGGTTTTGTTTAAAAATTATGCAAGACCAAGCCACAGCACACACACACACACACACACAACACACATACCATTCGAGTGTCAAGTTTTGTAAATATTTGTGCAACAAACTTTCTGTGGATAATTGGAATTAAAGATATACTAAGCAAGCAAAGAGCGGCCCACTTGAAAGAAATTCGATCTGTGAACTGTGGATAAACAAAGTGAGGATTATCGAAGCGGAGGTTGTTTCGTTTCGTTTCGTTTCGTTTTTGTTTTGTTTTTTTACTATTTGTGTTTGTTAAAGTTTTGTGAAAGATAAATAGCTCTACGAAAAAATTAAACACGCACTGACTCCAAAATGAGGCATTTATTTTGTCACTTTGCGAATATTATTATTTAATAATAACAGATAATCACACACAGAAAAGTGCCTAGAACCGAGTATCATTTAGGGTTGCAGTTCTCTCAGTCTCTCAAACAGAAGTTCTCTCCAGGTACGAATCGTTTTGGCCATGTTTACATGACGTATGAGTAATAATACTGAACTTGAGACAAACAACAAAACAAAACAACAAAAAGTGCGACAAGTGCGAGAGTTCGCGGTGGAAGTGGTGGTGGAAGGTGGCGGTGGTGGGGTTGGGTTCGGGTAAGTCTTTGTTTGTCTCTGTCTCTGTGTGTCGGTATCGTTGGCTGTATCTTTGTATCTCTGCTAGAGGGGGGAGGGTAAGCGCGCGACTTGAAGTTTGAGGAACGTAGCAACTCAGCCGTAAAATGAAAAATATAAATTGGCCTCTCCGTCTGAGAAGCAGAATTATTTAACGTACAACAGTCGCTGTGAATAGACGTTGTCTTGGCTACCACTTTGGCCAGCTCTCCGAATCCAAATAAGTTCCTTTTTTTAGCAACACACAGAAAACGCACAAAAATGTTCAAGCTGTTTATGCTAATGGTGAGTGTTTGGTGGTCCAATTTGTTTGTTAATTTCCATAAACAAAAAGCTGTTCTCTGTCAGTGCTTGATGGTGGCAGGAGCCAGAAGCTTAAGCCCGCCTGCCGCACAGGTGGGTACAACCAGGACCACCGGAGGTGATTTGGCCACGGCAGAGACCTCGGCAAAGTGTGAGTGGTAGATCTGGAAAAGCTGCGCATGAGAGTACTACAGATATTTTATTCTTTAACCACTCCTTTTGTTTAGTTTTGAATCTTTTTGGTGGCGGCACTGGCGGATATCCAAGCTATGGCTATAATTATCAGCGACCAACGACATATCCTGGCTATAATTATGGCTACAACAACAATGGATATTACGGCAATTCAGGCAGCAATTATCCGACGCCTGGCAGCTATTATCCCACTACAGGAGGCAGCTATTATCCCACTACAGGAGGCAGCTATTACCCCACCACTGGAGGCAGTTACTATCCAACGACTGGCGGCTATCCGAATACGGGCGGCAGCTATTATCCCACAACAAATATCCTGGGCTCACAAGGAGGCTATGCCGGCTATGGCGGCTATGGAGGTAATGGCGGCTTAAGGCAATATTCAGGCTATTTGCAGCGCGACTATCAGGGCCAAAGGAATCGTGGCTATGGCTACTATGAGAATACAGACCGTTTGGGCCTGCCAGAGCATCGCCAGCAGTCGCCAGATCGTTCTTATGGCTACTCTGGCTATGGTTCAAGCAATGGCTCTGGTTCCAACTATGGTTCCTCCTCGTATCGCGGCTATGACTAAGTATCTTTCTGTGTGATATGTCATTTGTCGCCTTGTTATTGCCTTTTGTTATATATTTTAATAATCTCTTAATCCTCTCTTTCTCTCTCTCTCTCTCTTTCCACTCTCATTTCATTCTATAACAATAAAACAGAATGTGCTACTAATTTAATGTTTGCTTATAATTCATTTTGTTGCTTGTCGTAAAACATTTAAATTACAAACAGATATGCCCAATTGCACACTCAAAATGTGTTCATTTGTCATTCATTCATTCATTCACTCATGCATTAACTTGTTTTGCTGTATCTCTCAGATACAGTTGCCGCCTTAAAGTATCTTATGGTTTTTATGTGTGCAACTCTTTTTAATGCCTTAAACCCCTCTACTGTTATTATTTTTCAGGCTACAGACAGACTTACGGCTAAGAGCAAAAACCTTTTCAGATGTAACGCTCCAGCACGCCCACAAAATCCACACATACAAAAAAGATCGTAAAACTTTTATAAACAATTTATTAGCAACTTCTTGTACGGCAAGAAAAAAAAAAACGAAGAACTTCAACATCAGAAACCTTTGGAATTTTTCCAACCCACATCTACGTCAAGTTTTTACTGGAGAGATCAGGTTTTCTTCTTGTTGTTTTTTTAAATATTTTTTTGCATTTTAAGTAAAGTCATGTTTATGTTATCCCTGTCCTTAACGCCCACCCACCGCTTGCTCCACCCGCCGCCTCTCGCAAATGCAGTGAAGCTGAAGTTTTCCTGGAAATTTCGCCTTGCGGAAAATGCATTCCGGACGAGCATGTGGGGCTGCTGCTGAGAGGAGAGAGCAGAGCTATTTGTGATAAGCTAATAGATTTCTCTTGTTAAATAAAGCTATATTTATGCAAGGATTTACGAGTGTGTGTGTGTGTGTCTGTGTGTGGGGTAGGGGTTCGAGAAAAATTAATTTAACGAACACAAGACCCGGAGGTTATAAAAGCAAAAAAAAGGATTTCCTTTGGAAAGGAAGGCTTCAAGATTGACCTTTTTGCAGCAAAGCTGCTAAATATTTGCAAATTTCCAAGGAATATATATTTATGAAGTTTTTACATTAAATGTTCATAGAAACTTATTCACAATGAAAAATAAAATATGGTTGTAATATATTCTTCTTTTTATTTGTGCTAAATTCCCATACAATTTATGTGGAAAATTTTACTTTAATTTAAATTTTACTCCGAGAACAACATTCTGGCCAAAACAACTCTTCGGCCAAAAGAAACATTTTAGAGAAAACAATGGGGAAAATGTTGATCAAAATGTGTTTTGAACAAGAACTCACCAACTTCTGGCAGATTTCTGGCAAATCACAAAAATCCAAACATTAAAAAGAATTCCACAGCAAATAAAACTGAGTTTTGTTTTTATATTTTTGGGTAATTTTCCTTTCGAGCAAGAACGACCAACACATATGACAACACTTCGAAAAGGAATTCTACATTCATTTTCCATTCATGTTGTATTTTATTTTCGTGTTAGTTCCATTTGAATGCGCAGCTTCCTTCCGTGCAGTCATAAAAAAACGAACAGAAGAATCCGAAACAAAGATACAAAGCCTCTGAGGTACCAGAGATAAAGCTACATAATTTGATGATGCGCATGAAATGCTACCGAAGAGCACGAGTATCTTTGCGGGGGAACAAAGCTATGGATACCCTTGAAAAACGTTTTTACAGATATAAAGGGGTACATACGAGTATATTTATGAGAGAAATTTGTATTTGAAGGGGCAAAGTCGCTTTTGGCACCCAAGAAAATTATTAATTAATTTTATTTATATATGATAGAAATCACATACAAGATTGATTTTAATATACTCTGAACTAAAAAAAAGTATATCCACTAAGAATAGTATTGTCAATTATAATATAATTATAATTTTCCGATTTTTTTTTAAATATTTGTTGTGTTTATTTTGTGAATATCTTTTTTCCCCACAAGAACTTTTTGTTTCAGTTATTGTAAATGTATATACCACAGCTATATCATATAGTAATACGATCGTGATAGTTCCGATCTGCTACTTTAAACTTAGGGAAGGATAAATACACACAGCAAAAACACTTCAACGTAAGAAATTTCCTTTCTGGCTGGCAAGCACCTCAACAGGCACGGAATGCCCTTCTTAATGGGTAAACAGTTCGTAAGGCATATTTGTATATCTGCAAATTGTTTAGAGTAACAAAAAAAAAACAACAAGCAAGCGGCGATTCCGTAGGTCATTAAAGAACTGAATATTATGGCATCAAATGGAATTGAGCGAAAAATGAGTTATTTTTTCTTTTTATTATTTCTGCTGCTGTTTTTTTATTTGGATCTTAATTCATTTTTCAATGTTTGTTATTGCCCCCAGATGTATGTATGTACGATACACGATGCTGTGCTCTACATTAAAGGCAAATAGAAATAAAGAAATAATTAAAGCGCCCCGCACGCGAAAAACTACAATAAATAAAACACCACTGAAGCCGATAAAAATACATACATACATATATCTGCGGGGAATGGAATTATTTATTTGCCAAGCGGCTTCAGATTAAATGCCGAACGGCCGACTGCCGCTGCATCACGCGTTCAAAATCTAATGTTAACAACATTTTAATTAACGAAACGAAGCCCTGGGCTGGGCTCCATAAACAACAACAACAATAAATAATGCAAAAAATAATTGCATATAAATGGATAAATGGGAAGCCAAAGCGGCTTGGACTCTGAACCAATATTTGCATGGCATATATTTCCGTATTTAGGTATGCAGGGAAAAGTATTACAAAATTTGCAAACTTACTGTCCACGCAACGAATACAACTCCGTAAGCCTCTAGAAGGCCTCTTCTAGAGGTACTCCACAAGGTAAAGGTCCCTTTCGTTCCTACTTCACCTTTTTCAGCAGATCTCACGAGCAAGAAGGTAGCAATAATCTCTGCTCCCCAGCCTTTGGACACGCCGATTAAACCGATTACTGTATCCGCATTGATCCCAAAGACTATTTTAAGTCCATTTAAATACATATTAAAACTGCTTAAAACATATTTTAAATATAATTTTAAGTCCTTAAGTACACATTTCCCAATCTCAATTTTAAGAAAGCGCCAAAGGCCAACTTGTGAAAATTTACTGCAGCCAAACCACAGCCCAAAAGCTGCTTCCTGTCACGTTCTTATCTGCTGCTTTAAGAATGGAAGAGGGATGGGCAAAATGAAAGTAAAATGGCGAAAACTTTTTCATGGCAGTCCATAATTTGCAGCAGCTGCTGCGACGGCTTCTGGTTGTTGCAGCCGCCCACACCCAGGCGAGAGTGTGGTAATTGCTTCAACGAACTTCAAACTGCAGCTCAAATTGTGTATGAAGCTGGCGCCAAGTACAGGACCCTCACGACTCGAACGAGTAATTCTCTCAAGGAAAAAGTTTCTTCAGAAAAAAGCATAAATAAGCAATAAAATGTATACGAATTCCGTTTTCCAACGAACTAGTTAAAGGAATCCTTCGTCCGTCGTTATCCTTATCATCCGTTATACCTACAGCATAAATTAAGTTGGCAGAAAACTTGACATTCAGCCAAATGAGAGGCTTATGTTTTGTTTTTTTTTTTGTATCTACAAAAAGAGGGTCTGAAAATTGTGTGCCTTAAATTTATGATAATCCCCAACTCTCAAGGGGTTAAGCGACATTCAATGCGCAAAAGGTTAAAAAGCAATTTAAGCATACCATTTCCTAGCATTTTTGTAGGTCTCCAGAGCGTATGCTTAATATTGATGAATAGCTATGAAAAAATAAATATTAAATGGCACTTTTCAAACTCTATTAATGCGTCTGGAAGAAATACAAACTCTTCTCTATATTATGGCTAAAAGAGAACTCCTAATCTATTAGCATAGCACACACCTTCAAAAAAAAAAAAAAAGTTGTGATATTTACGGACAGTTGTACCCTCTACCCCCATAACATACTCAGATACGAATCGAACTGATAATCAACAATTAGCTGCTTTTTGCTGGCTTTTGTCTCAATTTTTGTGTGAGATATTTTGATTTGATTCCCCAAGCAAGTTCCATTTATATGGCATGCTTAACCAATTAACACCACCCCAAAAGGGGCGCCACGTGCTTGAGCTTCCCCAGCATGCCAAAGTCCATGCCGAAAAGAGACTGGGAAAATTTAAAGAGAAATATGAAATATTTCTCTGCAAAATAAACTAATGATAACTTTAGCACGTGCCATCGTCGCATCGCATTGCTTCATCAGACGGACGGAAGCCAGACAATAAATGATTCAGAATCATTATCATATTCCCATTTTTGTTTTGTTTTGTTTGATTTTCCCATTAACAGAACGCGGGAGAGCGAATGTCTGCATACTCAATGGAATCGATTTAAAGGATGTAAATCAAAAGCCAATCGCTTGTTAACATTCGCTTTCTGCAGCGATGCGGAATTTATGCATAAATGCATTTAATTATAACAATACAAAAAATGGCGAATCCAAATAAAATTTAAGTGGAACTCTGAGGGGCATAAAACCCATTTTGTGAAATTTTTCACTTGAGTTTTTTCATTCAGGAAGAGGCGGCCATCAAAAGGCTCATTTCGCAAGTCAAATAATCAATGAAAAGACTCCCCCCGGAGACAGGTAAATCAATCAATTTATTGAGCATATATACATATGGGGAGAAAATTTATCTGTGTACAGGGGACTGCCGTGATGCTCAATGATTGAGCCAATGAAAATGTTTTTGGGTTAAAATTTCCCGAGTTGCTATAAAATAAAGTAGAATAAAACCAGTCGAAACGTTTGAGTGGTAGGCGCACGTTTCTGGACACGATGATACCCTAAGGTGCTAAGTTTATATATAAATATAAATCAATCAATATAAATCGGTACTCGACAGTGCTTTGCTTTGCATACTGTTCGAAGGCAGGTGTTCAATTATCCAAGCTTGTAGATAACCTATTTTGCCTTGTAGTAGATAAGATAATTCTTAATGATATTGCATTTTTCTGAATAATTTCGTGATTTTAATTGGCGGCATCTCTGGAGTGTAAAGACTCTGAGATCAATACGCTAAATGGCAATATCCACTCCCATATTGATGCTGATCAAAAATATATATGGTATAGTGTTTCGCTTCTACATCGAATATACCCCTTGTACTTGAGTACCCTTCGAGTATCGTCTAAAATAAAGTAATAATTTAATTAATTAAGGAAAAATTAACAGAGTGTTCTGGCCCCAAAGACAAATACCAGTTTCAAAGTTTTCTATAGCTTCAATGATAATGCGAAATTTAAGAGTTAAATTAGTTTGAATCTTTAATTCAATTCACATGGCAATGCTAATGGACGCCATGATGCCACACCAGCAGCGGCAGCGGCCGACACTGTTTGAATAACAATCTTAAGTATTCTTCAATATAGTAGCTGTGTATCTGGTGTATTACACATTTATAAACTATTTTGTATCCGTTAATTGATTGAAGATTGGAATGGGAAAAATGTTTGTACAAACTTTTGACTGAATATTCGAATATCGAGTTCTCGGGTAATTGAGAGGCAATTAAATTGATTACATTGCTGTAGGGTACTCGGTGGGGCATTGAATTCTATTATACACTGAGAAAAGGCAGGAAAAGTGAAGCTCTTTTTATTCAAAGTTTAATTAAATTTAATGAATTTCTGGTGCAAAGAAGAATGCTGCAGGGTGAATATTGTCCCTAGAAATACTCTTGATAGTGTGTTGCCTTTAATTCTCTTAATGTTGCCTCAATTTGTCTGCCCTTTTGTGACGGTCAATGGCCCCAGGTGTGTGTTTGTTTGTGGCACATTTCTTCTATGAATTTTCCCCAATTTCTTTGTTATTTTTGGTCCTCACTCATTTGCCTTTGGGTCGTGTCTATGCGATGGACATTCATTGTTCGTTTGGGTTACAAAATTATGTGTCAATGATGGACACATTGTGTTGCCAAGGCCCAGACCTTGTAACCCATATGTGTCTGCTTCAAAGGCCATGGTACCTAATATCCTGTGCATGTTTTTGGCAACCGGAATGTGCCTTCTATATAGGGTGTCTGTCGCCTAAATCTATGACCAATAGAAGAGATTGTTTGTATTTGCCCTAACAATTTGTTCTTTAAGGAAAACTTTTGTGTAAACTTTTGCACTTGAATTTCCATTGGTTATTTTCTGAGAGTGTATAATGTCTACGGTCTGTCTGCCACTGCTGCTGCTGCATCGGTGGCTAAAACAAATTAAACATTTAATTACAAGTATTTAGCCAAACGATTAGCCAAGAGGGAGTGAGAGCTACATGGAGAGTGTCTGGGAGAGAACTCGTGCATGGTGTCTGGGAGAGATAACAATAATGATAGATACCAAATACTCGTACGCGTACTTGTATCCATTAAAAATCCACTAGTCACACACATTTAATCTAATATTAAATGGCAATTGCCACAATCGAAACTTTCACTTATCTTCGCATAATCAAAGTTTTTTTTCCCCTCAGGTAATCAGTAAGTAAATATCCACACACGATAAAAAAAAAACAGTTAACAACAGACACGCCCCAGACTCCCGGCCTGGCCTGGAAATTTGCTGTTTGGATTTTTTGTCTATTTTTTTTTGTTTATTGATTAAGATTTTTTTTTGGGCTGCACCTGAAATTTCTTGTGTGGTGGTTCCCACTCCGCGCATACGTCAGAGTTCTTATAAAAAAAATACGCGCCTGCCCCTCTTTATATCTGTGTATCTGTGCTGTGCCAGAGTAACTGTGTATTTGTATCTGTGCGTGTGTGTTTTGGGGTAGGGAGGGCATCAATGGCAAGCCGGCACGAAAAGAAAACACAAATTAACAGGCAGTGGAGCTGCCATCAGTTGGTTCCGTGAGCTTTCATCGTGCGGTTGGTTCTAGTGGCTCGCGATCGAAAATTTGTGTGTCTCTGGCAAATATTCAATCGAATTTCCGCCATTTGGCATTCGACAGTCGTCGACATTGGCTGCAATTTACGCTTAAATTGATAATAAAATAAAACACATAAAAACAATACCAGTGAGCGCGAGTGAAAATTAGTTTAATGAAAAACACATTCGACAGTGTGAACATTCAGATACGATTTCTGTGAATTTTCGTAAGCCGAGGAGATCATTCAAAAGAGTGGAAGGAATGGAAATAACCAAATGAGAAATTCATTCAATAATTACAATAACATTTAAATCCAACGGCAAAGTAATTAATATTTTATCCAGGCCAGTAAACAAAAAAATAAGTAAGAATGTGTTACGACTGAAAGATATCCCATATTTCGGAATGTATCTTAAAATCTTCCTTTCCCCTTTTCCCGTATGTAGATTCCTAGGATTTACAAGTGTTATTAGAATTTATTTTTCTATCTTAAATATATTTGTAATTTCTGTAGAAAGATATTCTGAAAGATATGACTAACGTTTCTTTAACGTTTTCTTCTTCCTGTTTCAAGCCGTCTAACGTACGCATAAACCCTTGTAAACCACAAATACCTCGTGTATCTATAGTTAATTTATATGAATGGATTTCCGTAAAATGGTAAAACAGCCATTTTCATTACAATTAAATGCATTTACATGCAACACAATAAGCATATTAAATACTTTTAGAAATGGTGATGGGGGGCCACTTATTGTTCATTCAATTCTCGCATAAAAGACACATACAAATCTATTTAAATGGTTCAATTTAAAGCCCATTTTAGTGGAATTTATGAAGGAATTTTGTGTGCAGCCGTTATCACGTGGATGTACAGTGTAGCGGCAGAGTGTTCCCCTTTAGAATATTAAGTATTTTTTGCTGTGTTTACTTGCGATAGCCAAATATTTGCATAGCGGATGTTTCCTGTGGGTTTTTGGCTCTCCCACTTACCTGTAAATAAAAAGCCGCATGAAATAAAGTTGCATAAATATTTCAGTTCAATTCAAACAAAAACAGAATGGAGGAAATGCTAATTGAGATGAGAATTCTATGAAAAAGAGAAGCAATGCGGATTTCCCTTGACTGTAAGACAATCTTGACAATCCTTTCTTATTTGCTTTGTTGAAGTATCTCAAAAGTCAGCCAGGAGTATCCGAAAAGTCAGCTGCAAGTATCTCAGAAGACAGCTAAAAGTATCTCAAGCACACAGCCACAAGTATCAACAACAGTCAGGCACGAGTCAGACCAAACTCAAAAGCACACAAAAGACAGACAGTAGCCATTTTGATTCCCTGTTGACTTTGCCAGTGCGAGTAGCTCTTCCGTTAAAATGTTGTTTTTTGACATTTTCCACACTTTTTCACCTTTTTTTTTTCCTGATAAACATGTTACATTTACTGTTCCTAGGCACTGCGTTGCCAGGACAAGACCAACAGCACGAGAATTTCCATTAGAGTTGTAATTGGTTGTAGCTGGGTGTTATTACAAATGCAACAAGGCCCCAAAGGTGTGTTAATTTCCCCAAAGACAAAATCAAATAAAAGAAAATAATAAACAGTGTAACCATCTTAAAGGCTGCCTCCTGCCTCCTTCCAACACAAACCCAACTGGGGGGTTATGTAGAATAAAAGAACACATACAATATTTTTCCACACAAAGCAAAGTCTTAATGGAAGCAGGAAAAGGGAAACGAAAGGTTTCCATATAATTAAAGTTTATAGTTCTACCATTAATAATACATATTCGTGTACGTCAAAGGCTGCTTCTACTGTATGTTTCCCATTAAATATTTAAACAAAAAGTTCAAAGCCCGCAAAGGATACACGGATTCAAATGGATTTTTCTTGTCATGTTTTGGCCCTTTTTCTAGCTTTTATTCTCTGCACCGAATGTTCGTTTTGCTTTTCTTAAATATTAAGGTATATTTTCTCTGCCTTTTGCTGAGGTTTTTTTTTCTGGTAATTTAATTGCTGTAAAACCGCTAACTGCTAACCCAAGCGATGGGATCTTCTCTCTATCTCTCTCAAGTGTTTTTGATGGAATACACTCTCATTAGCACACATTTTCCAGAACAGCAACACGACCAATTTCCCTGGCATATCGCATAACAGAATTAATTACAATTATCCATCATGGCTTGAAGGTACATAATTTATGCTGCTGTTATGCCCCAGAAAGTCCATGGCTCTTGGCTGTAAATTATTTCAATTTACGCAGGTAATATTAATAAAGTCGACTTATGGGCGTTTGAAATTAACGAATTCTGGCTGGAAAAATCGTTACAAGAAAAAGGTGACTTTTTTGCAAACAATGCCTGTGTATTTTTCCTTTGATGTGCCTGCCTGTGTTTCGTTTTTTTGCTGTCTTTGTTCCAATATTTCGATATGTTTAGTATTGTTATGGTTCGGTAAAGAGAACCCCTTGTTTCTTGTTGCTCTTTTTTACTCCAGCACCTGCAATGGAGCTCTGTACAGGGCTTCTGATGCGCTTAATTGTACCCTTGGGGATGGGAATGTTGCTCTTCTTAAGGCAGCATTTAGGACTTTGTTGTTCCACCGATGGAGGGGACAACAGCAGCCTCCTTCGCTGTCATTGTTCCCCTTTGAAAAGGTCAAGGAACAGCTGGAATTTGTAATGGCAAATGCCATTTGCCATGAATGCGCTCCTGCAAAAATTAGCTTCAACTTCAAATTGAATCGAAAGCGTGGAGGGCCCATGGCTCGGCTTGAGATTGTTTTTTCGCGGGTCGCTGAACGTTAGTTCAAGATGTTTGTGGGTTATTACAGGGAATGTCCTCTCAAGGATGTGTGTCGATAAGTTGCAAAGTGTAAAGAACTTTCAAGGAGTTTAAATGTTAAGTGTTCAATGGCTTAAAGGCTCCGCAATTAAGGCAAAGCGATTACGTTTGGATACAATTTTGAAAGGTTTTTAAATGATTTATAATTACATCAAAATTTAATGGTTCGATTGTGGCAAATTCCCTGAACAAGCGACCAGCGAGAGTTGTGGCTAATTGAGCAGAGCACCTCTGTAAGCCAGAGGTAGAGTGAGGGAATGGAATAGAAGATAGGAGGAGCGGCGAACACTCTCATGAGAGGACATTAACAAAGGAACTGCGACGGCAGCGATCCAGCGCATGTCCATGAGATCACCGACTAATTACTGGAATGGTAAATAACGTAAAAGTACTGACAGGCGGTGTCCGGTGCCTTAAAAGGAAGCTACCGACAGCATAAAGGCACTGGAGGGGAGTGGAAGTCAGGCAAGCAGGGTGAAGGACAGTTTTGAATTCGGTGTTAGCAATACGCACTCTCTTGAGAGCACAGTCACAATGGAACTGGGAAGGCACCGAAAATTCTCATGAGTGCACAAAAACAATGGAGCTCGTCCTTGGCCGGCAGCGACTCGCCAGGAAATGGATGGAAGGCAAACTGTGAGGAATCGGAAGGCAAACTGTGAGGCATCAGAAGGCTTCTTACAAGGGTAAATTAAGAGGAGCATAAAAGCTTATTCACAATAAAAAATTCTCTAAAATTTTGACATTTTCAGTACTTTTGATTAAAACAACTCTTCTCACAACTTTTCTACAAGTTTTTCACTGCAAATTTTGTTTCTCGTTTTCTGCCTTAAAATTTTCATCAACAGAAAGTCACATATCTCATACTCTGCTGCTGATGCCATCACGCACTCAGCCACGTAAATATTTTCACATGTTTTCCGAGTTGTTTTTTTTCCATCACTCGTTGTTGACTTTTATTGAAAAATTGTGTCATTTTTTTGCGTGTTTTCACGCTTTTCCAAAAGAAAGAGTTGGCAGCAGCATCCCCCCTACGCTTATGAAAGAAACTCTTAGCTGAGGTATGCAAATTTCCGAAGCCATAGAAGATTTCTGCGCAAAGCCAAGAAAAGCTCATGGGTGGGGGGAAAGTAAAAAGAGGACGGTGAAAAATATAACAATTATTTGAACGTCTTTTGACATTTTTCCACAAATAGAAAGTTTTCCCTCCGCCCGCTTGTCCATTTCAAGTCTATTTTTAGTGTTGCATGGAAATGGTTGAATTTTCATCAATTGAAGAGGGAGAAAGAACTTTTGCTTTAAATCCTTGCTAATGAGAAACAAAAAGCTGCAAATTGATTTTCTTACGAAACACAAACAAACGAATTTTGCGCTCAAGCGGAGGAGATGTTATGAAAACAATTCAACAGCCAACATTCGGAATTAATTATGACAAAATTTGTTGACACTTTTTCTGGGAAATGATGGACGGAGCGTTAATCGGTATTTGCATATTGATTGAGTTTTTGGTTAAGATATCAGAGTGTTTCTAAGGATATTTTCCATAATTTTCAGCATTTTCGTTAACAATAAATCACACACCTGACTGGGCATACATATATACTCTGGCAAATGAATCCATTAATCATATTGAATTATTCATCTCCAATTATTGCCAGTTTGGATTGTTTTTTTCTCAAGATTACAACATTAAATATTTATGGTTGATCCCCACATGACCCTCCCACAACAACAATGTCATCATTGACTAGATTTGTGGTATATATATATCCATCAGTTAGTTGTAGACTTTGACATTGAATGAGAGAGTCGGGAAGGGGGGAGCATTCTATAAATATTCAAAGCATTCATCGGACAAACAATTAGTTTCCATTGAATATTTGATATATTTCAGCCGCAGACGTATCTGTTTTGGTAGAGAGACTCATTGGGCTGCTGCTACCTGACAAATTGATACATCTTTTGTGTCCTTCGTGTCCACGTGCCACTGGGGAGTGATTCAAATTGTTCTTTTTTTGCAACTGCTGATTAACTTGATTTATGTCTGCCATTGGCATTGCAATGTCTGTCTGCTCGGAACGCTCCTCCACTGTTTGCTCTTTTGACTGCTCCTCTGAGGCATGAAAAGAGCCTTGAACTGCATTTCAATAGCTTCATCAAGTGCCTAGCGATGCAAGTAATGTTCACATCGGTCGATATGCAAAACTCAAACCCAAAAGGCAATCCGCTCCTCTCAAATAAATTGAAATCTCTCTCTCTCTCTCCCTCTCTCTGGAATCAAGAGATTATTGGAAAATAATTTGACAAATTGAGAGTCTTGAGAATTTGTACATTTGCTCAGGCGATTTCCTCTTGATGGTTGCTGGAACTTTAATTGCATTTTCCAGCAGCATATGTGTGGTGGTGAGTGGCTGATTGGCATTTTTGTGTATTTTTGATATGATTTTGGCACACTTGGAATTCATTTCATTTGAAATACATCAAATGCCAGTCAAAAGGAGGTGGAAAAAGAGCACAGGAGGAGG